TGTTTCACTCCGTGGATACGCCTCACTACAATCCTTAGTGTGTCAGTAGGTTCCAATAACAGCTACATCAATAGAACAGATATACGTACGGACCTTTTTGCGGATAACACCTACATCTTCGATGTTAGCGCCAGCACGGCGTTGTTGTGAGCATATTACCTTCGCCCTTGGCGGGATAGACTGAGAATGAAACCGATTGCTTTCCGTAGCCATTTGGGTCCACAGTTTACGCGGCATGAAGTAAAAAAGAGCGCTAACGGGTCATCACCCAGATCCATAATATTGTCAGTTGGTCCATGTTCTCCATCGTACAAGTGTGTGTAGCTTGGGCCGGTCCAAACTTGTCAGGATCTAATTTTCATAATAAAAAATAGTTTATGTTGATCGTAAGTTGACCTCAAAGCTCATGTTGTTACGCGTATGTTGTACGTGATCAACTTCCCATATTCCCAGCCAAGCTTCTTCATCGTCGCCATCTCTTTTTTAGCTCTGCGTCACCGTATAACAAACTGACTCCGGCAACTCTACACCGCCGTCGTCCGAGCTTTCTTCTTCTTCTAGTTCTCCAATGGGCCAATCCTCCACTCAATCGTCATTGTCGCTGTAATCGTCTTCGTCATCGTCTTCATGGTCCTCCCGCACATCCCCGTCTTCGTCCGAATTCAGGTACGTGCACTCATGAGCACCTCGGTTCATCATATTTGCGTCTCCTTCAATAACAGGGAAGTGAGACTGGTAAGTCCTCAACGACGACATCCTCATCCCCGCTGCTGCTTCTAGAATCAGGGCCAGCTTCTTGTAATTTAGCTCTTCGTCGTTTTCTTGGGTTCGGGGCTAGCTGAACAGGTACAACTACTGTAGCATCGCCTGTAACGGCAGTTTCAGAGTTAGGACCATCAGCAACAGCAACAGCTTCAACCAAACCCGACATCACCACGGATATGAGCGTGTGCTACGGTTTGCAGCCATATCATCGGTCGTCTTTGCCTCCACCAGATCTTCAGCCGTTATGTCCTTGGCTTCAGCTCTCTCAGCACCCTCCGCCACTACTGTGGTATTTCTCTCCACTTCTTCAGAACAGGCTCCCTTTGTTTCAGCGATCTCTATTGCTGGCGTCTCGCCTTCTTTCTTATTCCTTTCTTTTTTTCTTGGCCACTACTCCATTCCCTTCCTTGGCTTCTGCTCGTCGTATCGTCGTTCACGGTGTTCACCCAGCATCGCGTTCAGACAGAGCTGTCGCTCGACATCAGTCAAATTGTGCCGCGGAGCCTTCCTGGCGCCGGCGACCATGTTATCTCCAAGCCGTCTTTTTCGAGATTGAGCAGATTCAAGGTCTGTCGGCCACCAGGTTTTGGTGGGTGACAAGCACTCTCTGTCACATTCAACCGAATCCCGGTTGTCCCATACCTAAACCTGTACATTTGACTCTTTTCCACTCAAAATATTATCTTATTTTTATATACCAGCTAATGACAGGAAACTTATACAAATTTCAAGTTTAAATATTCTTATGTTGGCTAGCCAACATACCAGAGACGGCAGGCCGAGATCGCATCCCTCAGCCAAACAATGCAGAAGTTCATCGATGATCAGAAACAAGAACGAGATCAACTAGCTGCGACCAAGAAGAAGCTCGAAGAGATCACCCGAGAACGCGATCGCCTCCATGTTGAAGTTACCGCTAGGGTTGAGTACCTTGATCTTGCGTATATATATCTAGTATCACATCACCTTGTCCTCACCCGTGCAGATTACGACGTAGCCGTCGCTAGAGAGACTTATGGGCAGCGAGAGCGTACGATCACTGAGAGTACAGTGTGGTGGAGCTGGATCAGCAAAAATCTTGAGAATGCTGGATCGGGTTTGCCATTGTGCCCAGGACGCCGATTATTGGAGGGGGTGCTCCTGTTGATCCGTGATCAGCTCAACTTCCTCGCCTTGGGTACCCGTCTGTAGAGCTGGATCTTTCTCCTTCGATAGCTGTAGAATAGGTCCAAGTGTTGAAGATCTTGAATGTCTTGGCGAGATGCATGGATGAGCGGAAAGGCTTCGCTCTGCTGCCGGGTAAGTTGATCCGGAGTCCACGTGAGCATTCGAACGTGGATCACCGGTGGCGGATATTGAATCCGGCCGTGTAGGTTGTCACGGTGTGTTGGTTTGGGTGGATCTTGCGATCCCTTTGAGTTGCTTGCAGGCTCTTATGACAGGATCTTGGGGGAGTTTAGAGATCGATGGGTCGCACGGCTAAACACTAAATACCGCGGATCCGGAGCTTGTACGTATAGAACAAGTATTAGGTAGTTTGATCTGGCCAGTATATTATCCTGTTATTCAAACTACACTAAATACAAACTTCCTGATACCATATCACCTTATATAACCAGTATATGTCTTGATCCGAGGTGTCCGGAATGCACTAAGTGTGGATCAAACAAAGAAACCCGCCATATGTGCCCAATGATGCAAATTCGCTTCTCTGTTATTCCTAAGCCTTTGCTCCTCATTTGTCCTATCCTCTACTACCTGGAACATGTACCTTCCTTCCCAGCAACCGCTTATCTTCGGATCTTGATATACCCCTCTGATTACATACCTTGTTTACTTGATCCGAATTGGTCTCGAGTAATCTTATCTGGATCAGGTATATTCGTACCCAAATCGGGTGCCTATAATTAGGTTCATCCCAATTGGTCCAATTATCCTCGAATCAGTTGATCTGAGTCCAGCATACCTTCTCATATCTGGATCCACGATAATTACCATAGATCCAGGGTTACCTGTCATTCTACTCGATCTAGTCACCTCCTGTCTGCAAATTTCCGGAAATCACTTCACCACAACAGCGCGGATCCAGGCTCACTCCACGGACATTGATATTCTCACTGTGGATCTGTCGGACCTACGGCAATCTTCTTGCGACTGCGCTACCCTTTCGACCCACAATATACGATCCACCCTTCTACCAACAGATTAAGCACCTGTGAAGTTAAGTACTGCACGTAGTATCTTCATTGCACTCAACTAGCATAAAATGCTAAATGCGCAGACTCCAAAATGGAGAAGCTGAACAACAGCAACTCGATCGCGACATCTTTGTCATCGTCGGAGTTTGCTTCCGTGAAATATTCATCATCGTCGTGTGCAGGTACCGAAAAACATTTCTTTACCTCGCTTAGACGTAGAAATGAACTTCATAAGTTTGTGATTATTTCTTGCATAGACCTCTAGCTGAACATACCACGATGATAAACCAAAAACTCTCGTTCAAATTTTGTTAAGCTTCGGTGTCAAAATCATCATCTTCACTGGATAATATGGAGGCTCGCACTCATTCTCAATGTAAACTGTTGAACATTCCTCGAGAATGCCATCAAACTCACCCTGTGATCTATTACACTGAGCAAATCAGATCCGTTTTTTTCTGGTATCCTCCACTCTTATAAACAAACATTCCAACTCGAGCATGAAGGAGCAACACGATTGAGCCAAAATACATTTTACCGATTCCTGGATCCCCTACCAAGAATTACGAGATGCGGACGACACACTGCGAAACGACTTCCCATATCATAAAATATCGGACCAGGTGACCTTTCGGACCTGTACCTATAGAAGGTACATTTACGTTTAGTACCAAAACATTATGTGTTGTGCTTAGGGGAACAAAATTTTGATTGTATTGAAAATAGCCTGTTTTAGCCTGGTTTATAGGCGACAGGAAATGGCCTGAAACGGACTGTGGGCTAAGAAAATCCGTCTATATAAAACATACTAATTTTGCTTGAGAGACAAGCGCTCTCGAGCGGGTAAATTCATGAATGAGGCCGGAATTTTAGGATCGTCCGGATACACGACGCCTGACCGGATAGCAAGAATAAACGGACGGCCAGTGGTCCCAAATACATCTCTATTGGCTACATATTAACCAGTAATAGCTTGCCACTTGTCAGTGCACAAACACGCAGCCAACTACTGGCTAGTATTCGAGCATTCCCCGACACATCATCACTTCGGGTCAGTCTTCATTTTTAAGGGCTACTACGCAGACCTCCCCATACACGCGCTGACAACTTCAAGCCAGGAGCTGCCCATTTGCGCTTGACCCCATCCAACGATGTAGCTCAACTGGAAAGAGAACAGGGCTTCGGCTCTGGGGTGCCCGTTCGAATCGGGTCATCGTTATTTGCTCTTACTTGCTAACTATTTCGAGGGCGTCTTGCGTGTAGCCTAGAGCCGGGTCATGAATTTCAGCTGTCTGGAGAAGATGTTGGTGACGCTCGATGATGGCGTTGAGGGCTCATTTGTTGTGCAGGCTTTGCAAGTGCTTCAGGACAGCGCTTGATCCACGTGACGTGATGTGGTGCTTGTCATGCAAGAAGGTAAGCACATGTTCTTTCGCGCGCTTCGCCAATGTAATGGGCCACCCCAGTTACATATGTACGTAGATTACATGACAAAAGTAGGTACATAGGCACACGAGTAGCGTGGGCTGTGTTGCCGCTCACTGGTTGGCTGAAAATTATATATTTATTAGCCAATCAGGAGCCGACTTGCATTTGGGTGGCTCCCAAGGTATCAGGGCCTCCGCCCCGGACCTAAATTAAATCAGAGTTATATTTCCTACGGGCTGAATACTTGTTCTATCATTGCAAGCTTCCTCATCGCTACGTGTAAGCTAGTAACGGCAAAAACCTGGCCCGTTACACCTGGTAGCACTTTGTAGTCCTTTCAACGTCCAAGATGAACATGCATGAAGACCCGACACCCGGAACATCAGGGATGACCCTGGGGCACGACGCCTTCCTCATCTCACTCGAGTTGAGTTGGTGGCGCTTCACCCCCTCGCGGCGGTGTCAGGAGAGGCTGTCGTGACAGCGCTATTTAGCACAGCGTCCCCAGACCAACAACGCCAAGCTGTCCAAGAATTCATGGAACGTGAGCTCGCTGAGACCAAGCAGCGAGTACAAACTCCCTCCCGTTCTAAGAACGACGCTGTGGCGATGGAGACGTCTACGTACCCCGGCATCGGCTCGGACAGGCTTCCACTGATTCGCTGGTTCCGGGAGATTGACATCGCTATCGCCTCGAGACTGATCGAAGCGCCCTCCGCGAAGGTCAACTTCCTGTTGTCTCGCCTGACTGAGAAGGCTAAGGAATGGGCACTTGGTAAATTGGTTGTGGATCCTCTTGCCTTCCCGACTCTGGAAGAGATCCAGAGAGACCTGCGACTCGCATTCAAGCCTCCTCAAGACGAATCTCGCGTTCGCTCGGCATTCTTCGCCCTCAAACAGGGGAAGATGTCGATGCACGACTACGTACACAAGATACGGCATCTCGCGTCGTGCATCGTCACGAAGCCTATCGACATGGCATCACAAGTTCATGTCTTCGTCTCGGGCATTCGAGAAGGAATGACAAGATACTGCCTCACGCGAGCCGATCCAGATTCGCTTGAACAATCCTTCACTCTCGCGCTTCGAGAGGATTATGTGGTGTCTTGTCGTACTCCCGTGCAATGTCAGCTGCTGATCAAGTTAAGGCCCCTGAGCCTATGAAGATAGACACGATCGAGGCGTCGAATGGTCGTACTTGGTCCAGCGCCTCCGCTAACCGCGGAAGTAGGTCACCTCGCCCAATGGTATTGTACCGCTGTCGGAAGGTGGGTCACCGCGCGCCAGCTCCAGTCGTCGCGAACGTCGAGGTGGGCGACGGTTCTATCCCGGCCGCTTAGCCAAAAAAAACGGGCTGGGCCAGTCCCTACTGGCTGGAACGATGGTCCGGGTCCTCCGGTGGCAACCCGGCCCTCTAGCCCTCCTGTGCTTTATCACGTTTAATGCCACCACAACGGGCGGCAACTCCAGATTGATTATCGTCAGTCTTCATGTCGCCGATGCCCGGCGTCCATTGCGCGCCCCTCGACTCAGGAGTGACGAACAACTTCTTCCGCCCATCGAGCTTGTCTGTGTTTCCTTGGAGCACGAACGTTCGGCAGGGCTCAGGCGAGGTGGAGGTCAAGCTTGCAGACGGCAAAGCTCATCGCGTTGCGCGACGTGAGGTGTCGCTGTCGTATACGTTCGGCGGCTTCCGCAGCAACGATGACTTCCTGGTGATTGAGATGAATTACGACGGCTTCCGCAGCAACGATAACTTCCTAGTGATTGAGATGAATTACGCGTTCAACTTCATTCTGGGTATCCCGTGGCTTGCACGGTACCAGCCAGAGATCGACTGGCTCGCCCAATCACTCAAGCGTCGACGCGGCTTCGACATACGTGAAATGTTCACGCACCTCTTGGTAACTTCAAGAGACGGACCTCACGTTACTGTCGTGGACAAGACGGCGACGACACGAGTTGTGCACAGAGCGAGCGATGGCCCTCTCTGCATAGCTTGTGCCGTGCTGTTGTATGATGAGAATGTCCGGATGGCAGCGCGTGGACACGATGACGGATGCGTGGTCAAACGAGAGTCGCTCCCACGTATAGTGAACAAACCGACGGTTGAGCATGGGTTCCCGTCGCAAACTACGTCGGGTATTGTACCGGCGGTCTAGCGTAAGTCGCTCCTGCATCCCGAATTTGTGAAACCGAATTTGTGAAGGAGAGCGTCGCATCCCGAATTCGTGACAGAGAGTGTGGCGCATCATCGTTGACCCGAGCATGAGTTCCCGTCGAGTATTGTACCGGCGGTCTAGCGTAAGTCGCTCCTGCATCCCGAATTTGTGAAGGAGAGCGTCGCATCCCGAATTCGTGACAGAGAGCGTGGCGCATCAGCGTCGACCCGAGCATGAGTTCCCGTCGGGTATTGTACCGGCGGTCTAGCGTAAGTCGCTCCTGCATCCCGAATTTGTGAAAGAGAGCGTCGCATCCCGAATTCGTGACAGAGAGCGTGGCGCATCAGCGTCCTACCGGTGTGGTCGAGCGTGGCCTCCCACATCTAGAGGAGGGTGGATCATCGTCCACCGAGAGCGCCACATCCTCTCCGAGCACGCTCTCGAAGCATAAGAAGATAAAATCACGGAGACGTCGCCTAACGCCCCGTCGAGAACCTCCAGCGCCTGAAAATCCACCGTGTGTGCCCTCGAGTACGTCGAAGGGGCTCCTCGACGGTCGCGCGTCATCGAAGTAGCGAGCCTTCCACGCGACGCAGCGGCCATCACACGTCTTCCTGGCCTCTCTTGGAAGCATTTCTTGCGAGATCTAAAGGCTGGCGACATTGATCAAGTGTGCCTAATCACCGCAGCAGTTCCGGCGGATGAGCTTAACTCGGTGAAGGCAGAGGAAAAGTTGTCGAGACCTAAGAACGCCGAGCCAAAGTTGACGCGCGAGAAACGCTTCGGAGCGCAATCCTGGGAAGTGTTGCGGGACTCGGGTAATCCGGTGTACGACACCGCCCGCGAGTTCGCGGACATCTTCCCCGAAAAAATCCCCGCCGAATTCCCGGCGGACCGAGGTGCGCCACGAGATCGACATCACACCTGGAACAAAGTACTGTGTGACTCCACAATGGCCGCTTCCACGAGACCAGGTGAAAGCCATCGACGATTTTTTTTGAGAGCCGTCGTCAAGCAGGACACGTGCGTGAAAGCATTTCACCTCACTCTAGTCCGACCTTCTGCGTCAAGAAAGCCACCGGCGGGTGGCGCAATGTTCGCGCGTTCAATATGTTGAACGACGCCACCATACCCGCGCAGACGCCAATCCCGCGGAAGGACATGGTGTGAAATTTATGGCGGGAAATGTGATCTTCAGTGCCATCGATCTGACCGATGGGTTCTATCAAATCCTCATGCGAGAGGGTGATGTTCCTCTCACAGCTGTTAGCACTCTGAGCGACATGCTCTGGGATTGGCTTGTGCTACCCCAAGTTCTGAGGAACGCGCCGGCTGCATTTAACCGCATGGTCTCCCATGTGCTGCGACCGCTTCGCGATTTCGCATCAAGTTATTTCGATGATATCTTGGTGCACAGTCGCGCTGAAGGCAACCTCAGCGTTATAGACGTCCATCTGAAGCATCTGAGGCAAGTCTTCCAGGTGATGAGAGATAACAAGCTCTATACCAACTTGAAGAAGTGTGTGTTTTGCGCACCGGGGATTCCGGTGTTGGGCTGCTACGTAGGCAAGGATGGAGTCCGCGCTGATCCTGAGAAGGTCACGTCAATCTGCTCATGGCCGACCCCGACCAGTCCCACTGAGCTTCGTCAGTGATTGGGCATGGCAAACTACTAGCACAAGTATAAGAAGGACTATGCCAAGTTCATACAACCGCTGTCGGCGCTGTTAAAGAAAGACACCACATGGGTATGGCGAGAAGGGCACCAAGCCGCATTCGACTCGGTGAAAAGGAACTTGTCGTCCGCCCCTTTTCTGATGCTCGCGGACGAATCAAAATCATTCCACGTCGTCTGTGACGCAAGTGACTTCGCCATCGGGTGTGCCCTGATGCAGTTTGATGACGAGGGCCGTGAGCGAGTGATCAGCTACCAGTCCCGCCAGCTTAAGCCAGCGGAGCGAAACTATCCAGTACACGACTAGGAGCTCCTCGCTATGCGCTACGCTCTGGTCAAGTTCCGAGTCTACCTGCTCGGAGAAGAGACATTTGCTGTCTACGCTGATCATGCATCGCTACGAACAGCGATGAAATCCCGTCACTTGTCTCAGCGCATGGCTCAACGGCTGTCCTTTTCTCCGAGTACAACTTCGTGGTACACTAAGCCTGGCAAGAATAACATTCCCGCCGACGCTTTGTCTCGGCGCCCAGATTATGATCCCCGCGACGGTCTTGACCGTCAGACAGGTGACACGGAAGATAACGACTTATGCGCAATGTGTTGACGTCAGGGTTGAACCTGACGAGCGTTGTTCCCACGATGTCACTTCGAGACGAGATTGCCACCGCGTACGAGCACGACACGCAGTATGCCGGCACCCTGAGTCACCTCAGCGCGCCGTGCGAGGCGACCCTAGAGGCTCTGCCGCGCTCTATTCGCAGTCACATCGAGCGATACCGCCTCGATGGTTCCTTGCTGGCGTACTCCATCGATCGGTTCGATGCTCCGCGAGTGGTGGTGCGGATCATCCATGAGTACCATGATGCTCCGACCAGTGGCCACTTGGGACGCGGTAAGACCTTCGCGGAAGTGGCGCGAGACTTCTTCTGACCTCACCGCTACAAATGGGTGCGCACTTGCGAGACCTTCCAGCGCGTGAAACCTTCGCCGTCGTTACAAGTTCCACTGCGTCGTCTTCCGGTTCCTACGGAAGTCTGGCGCTCTGTTTCGATGAACTTCGTCTTCGGCCTACCACCCGACTTGTACGGGCGTACTGGTGTACTCGTGTTTGTCAATCGGTTCAACAAGATGGTTCATCTCATCCCCGTGACTTCCACGGTCACCGCGGAAGATTCCGCGGCACATTTTATTGATACCGTATTTCGTCTCCATGGTCTGCCCGTCTCGGACCGCGATCTGAAGTTTACGTCCGCATTTTGGACGGAGTTGTTCAAGTTGCTTGGGGCGAAACTTACAATCTCAACCGCAGCCTACCCAGAGACGGATGAACATCTGAACGTGTCAACCGTGTCGTTGAAGAGGTGCTTCGCAGCTACGTGACGTCGTTCCTGAGCTGGAGTTCCTTCGTGCCTCTCACCGAGTTTGCGCTGAACAACGCCGAGCACTCGTCGACGGGCCTGACCCCTTCTTCGTGAACTCCGCGCGACACCCGCGCGTTCCCGCCATGCTTTCCGTGGGCCATCCTACAGGAAATCATAGCTCTACTCTTGGTGGGGGAGGAGATGCCGCTGAGGACGTACCGCCGACCTCTCTACCGGCGGAAACAAGTGCAAATGCGGTGACCCGATCCCAAGCGAAGAAGGTTCTTGCACACCTCGGAGTGCAGTGTCGCCGCTCTAGGACTGGGCAGAGCGCACTTTGATCGATCCCACTGGCACCCCGGCGGATCACCCTCGGCCGGTCGTGTCCGCTAACTATGCGCCGAAGTCTACGGCGAGTCCGGCCGACCTGGCGGCCGTCTCAGAGTTTGTACAACAGCGCCAGGCGATTACGCGTTTTTGTGCGAGATGCACTGCAAGCAGCAGTCGACAAGCAGGAGGAAAATACAGACAAACATGGGTGCAATAACTAAAATTCATTTCGCACGGGCGACCGTGTGTTACTGTCTACCGAAGGCGATCGCTCCTCCGCTGTGGCTAATCTCGCCAACAAGCTCGCTCCACGCTTCATTGGCCCTTTCAAGATTGTGAAGATCTTAGGCGACGCGTATATACTGGACATTCCGACTTTGCTGCGCCTCCACCCGACGTTTTTCGTCGGGCGCCTCAAGCGTTACCGCCCCGCTGAAATTCCAAGGTTCGACCACAAGGAGGCTCTGGTGGGCATGCGTTGGGCGCCCCACCCGACGTACCTGTCGCGCCATCGATCCGTATGAGCCAGGGGCCCGCTCCCGGAGCTGCGACTCTGTCTGTGCCTCTCCATAGACGCGTCTCTCAATATTCCGCAGACGCATCAGCAACTGCTGGTTCGACTGTCGAAGCTCCATCGCCGCTCGCTCCGCACGCCCCGCCCGTCCGTCTGCTCGCTCAGCCTTCGCCTGAGCGTCCCAGGAGCGGTTCACAGCAGCCTCAACATCGCCCGCGCTCAGCCAACTGGACACTGTACCACCGTGAAGGTCCACCGCCGATTGTTGTCTTGGTGGGTAATACCCGCTGGATTGTTGAGGGTATCGTGGATCACCAACATCTTCACGGTGCTTGCCACCGTGTCCGTGATCGTAGTACCACCAGTCGCGTGGTGCCGCCGACGCGGCTTTATCGTGTGAGCTGGCTTGGCTTTCCTCCGAAGGGCGATACATGGGAGCCCCGTAGCGAGCTCCTTCATGACGTTCCGGATGTTGTTCGTGACTACGAGACCACGCTCGCGCAAGCGATCGTCTCCGCGGCGCAGTCCGCCGTGAGCAAGAGCGAGAACGAGACTTTGAATGCCAACGCTGATGACGACGAGCTGGAGAAGGAGAACGAGAACGCCATCCTCGCCTCGACCCGCGTCGACGTAGCGCGCCACGATTAGTGACCTCTCCGACGTCGGAGAGAGCGCGGTTGTACTTCGCGATCCAGCCTGACTGAACGGCGCTGAGCGGGCGCTCGACGATCTCCTGCTGCCACTGCTGCTGCGTCGAACGTGCCGACGTATCACGCGAAGCACATCCCTCCTTCAAGTGCACGAAGCAGAGTGGATCGTCGTCCCACGCATCCTTGCAGACGCGCCGTCGAAGCTCAGTGAGTGAGTGGTCCCTCAGCATCTGTTCCTGATACGCGAGCCATCGTCGAAGCTCTCCCCTGCCAAGGCTATCCGGTTCCACCGCCGGATAAGGCATACCACGACCGCTGCAGAGCTGTGTGCCCAGCACCTTCGATTGGCTTCTCCCGCGACGCACGGAAGCGTCGGAAGTGGTCTCGCATGGTGTCTGGCGTGTCGGGCTGCAGCACGGTCGACAAGTCGTACAGTTCCCACGGCGTCAATTTGCTGTCCATCGTCGTCGTCCACAGCCTGCGGATGTCTGAAGCTTCGGGGGTAGCTGCGACAGGCACCGACGACTCTGTCGGGGTGTTGGGGCGGTTCTTGCTGGTCGTCTGCGCCGCCATCGTCTTGTGTCGCTCGAGAGGCCGAGTGCTGTGCCATCGTAGTCTTCCGTCTTCTTGGGTGATTTCGGGTGTTCTCCACCAAAGTCCGAAAATTCGTGTTCTGCGCTTATGTTGCATAAGCGCAACTTAGAGAGGAGGATGATGTAATGGGCCACCCCAGTTACATATGTACGTAGATTACATGACAAAAGTAGGTACATAGGCACACGAGTAGCGTGGGCTGTGTTGCCGCTCACTGGTTGGCTGAAAATTATATATTTATTAGCCAATCAGGAGCCGACTTGCATTTGGGTGGCTCCCAAGGTATCAGGGCCTCCGCCCCGGACCTAAATTAAATCAGAGTTATATTTCCTACGGGCTGAATACTTGTTCTATCATTGCAAGCTTCCTCATCGCTACGTGTAAGCTAGTAACGGCAAAGACCTGGCCTGTTAAACCAGATCCAGAACCTGGTCGCGGTAGTCAGCTTCGTTGGAGTCAAGAGCGAACCCGTCGTGTAAGAAGAGCTTCATGAAGGCGACCAGGATCTTCGCCTTCGAGCGCTGCTGCTTAGGAGCATGTGCCATCCATTTTGGTTCCTGCGTGTACCAAGCAAACCAAGTAGCGTGAAGGTGAGTCACTGAGCCCCTGTGTTGTTTCTTCTTCGGGGTACCGACTGCTGGTTTGTCTTCCTCTTGACAGCTTCGTTTGTTTGTTGCTTGTATAGGGTCGTTCGTTTGCTTAGCTTCAAGTGCATCCATGCGTGCGTCCTGCCGATTAATGTGCTCGATAAAGTACTTAATCACAGCCGCTTGATGGTCGATGATCTTCTGATCCTGGCTCGGTTCCTTTGGCTTCACCTGTTATCTGGTGGGTTGTATATCACTTGGCTGTGTTGTATGACAGGGAACTGGATCACGGGCAAGGTGCGAAGACCATGCAAAAAGATCAGCCTGCAAGCACTTGGCATGGCTGACTGCAACTTCAACGCGCTTGACGACAGGACTTCCAGGGTTCAAAGATTTGAGCAACGGGAAGTGGCGTACGACACAGGTGGTAAGTACGTTCAGCACCTTCTTGTTAACGTTGTATCTCTCTGCTTCGAGCTTGTAGCAGGACGAATACAGGACGCGTTGGACTCCAACGATCGACTCCAGAGTTTGCGCATCGAAGCTTGACAGATCTTGAAGCGACACAGCGTCCTTCGGTTTGTATCCACTGAGCACCTTTGCAATCTTGTGGTCTTCTTTGCTGGTGTTGAAGATGTAATTGAACCCTTTGTTTGTTGTGCTCATGTTCCAGGAGCCCCTGTTGAAGATCCAGCGCGCTGTCATCTCGCCACAGCCGTTCGCGTGCTTCGCTCCGCCGCGCCGAACTGAATGGAAGGTCAGTGAAGCCTCTACACCGGCCGCAGGAACAACACGGTTCAGACACGGTTGACGTGTGTGTAGATCGTGGGCGACGTGTCCGAACGTGCGGGTGCAGCAGGAGCGGCAAGGCCAGTGGCATGTTCAGGAGCGCAACCACCGGGATCTCGAGTGACAGCGTAGTGGCAGTGGGCGCTGCTTGGGCGGGGTGGTTACCGACGAGTTCAAGGCTAGCGCGATGGCAAGCACAGGGCAGGTGGCCAAGTCGACATCAGGGAAAATTGACACCCCTGCTCCTCCGACGTCTTTACGCGTACCAGACGCAGAAAGAGAACGTTCGACGCATCGACAGAGCTGTTCCTCTTGTGGACCATCGCAAGATCCGAAGCACGGTCAAACAGGTACCACAGGAGACAGAGTAGAGCGGCGTCCTGGAAGTCGCTTTCTGAACATGCGTAAGTATACAAATAAAGCAACATTTTTTCAAGTCGGCCTTCGTACATGGAGTTGCTTTAGCTACAAGACCACCATCATCCCTCTTCATACAGAAGTTATCTAGTGGCTTTCCCATTTTAAGCAACGTAGCTTCCAGAGAAGCTCAGTGCTTAGGAAATTGATCTAGTAGCCAAAGTTTGCTTGTCGATAGTACTTCATTGGGGTGTTGCGAGCTAATGGCTTACCTTTTTCCTTCATTAAATGCAAGATATATTACTCTTCCTCGACTTCCTCCTCCTTAGGAAACTTGGCGAAGGCTGCAATGGCAGTTGCCTTGGCACGCAAAGTGTTGTCAGGCTGGAACTCATCAACTCCCATGATGTAGTTCCGATAAAAGCAAAATATGCAAGTGATACGCTATTGACTTGATGTTTGGCTAGACATATATATATATATATATATATATCGCACTTGATCGGACCTGTTACTGTACGTCCGATCGGTGGCTTAGAGGACTCACCTACCCCTAAGTACCACGATTGGCTAATAAAGCAAATTATCTATAATTTCATTGGCAGAAAAGGATTTGATCGTTCTTATTGGATAGATAATCGCCATACAAAATATAAGTATGGTCCTATAAGAACACATATTCATCCATAACTGCGAGAAGTAGCGACAAATGTAGGCACGAAATCCTCTTGTTGAATCACTAAGAAATATCCCCTCATGTAATGCGATTAACTCTTCATCTTTAACATTTGTTTGATCCCGAATAGCTTTCAAAGTCGTGACCAATGTTGACGGATTTAAAACCATAGTTTTCGTCACGTTGATTTTTACACCTCCAAAGCAATTTCCTTGCCAACCGGAAGAGCCATTAACACTTCCTTCAAGGGGATCACCCATAATGGATAATCCCCAGGTGTTGTTCGTTTGTAAGTGCTTTGATGTCTCGCCAAATACGAGTTCGTTCACCTCATCGATATTCACCTCTGCACCGAAGATACTTACATCACAAGACGACTTGCTCACAAACATGATTCTGCGTCTACTGTAAATTCGTTCAATGGCACGAGAATGTTAACATATCCAAGTCCGTCAATTTCAGATACATATCGACGAAACTTTACTCTCCGATCCGCCAAACGTATCGTGAATTCTGAGCTCGTCGAATTTCTTTGAGATTTCGTCTTCATCTTCAGTCACAGACCCAATCGTCAAGCTCGCAAACTCTTTAACTACTTCTTCGCACAACATAGTGCCATCGATATGCATTGGTGTGTGCCAAATAACGGTTCTTCTCTCCACAGTGCCAGTGTCTGCAGCCAGCGTAAGAACATCCCATCCCGTTTCTCCAGCACGCAAATGCATCGGTGTGTGCCAAATGACGGTTCTCCTCACCACAGTGCCAATATCTGCAGCCAGCGTAAGAACATCCCATCCCGTTTCTCCAGCACGCAAACCTGTAAATATTCCTTCTCCGTCCATAAACTTTTGCCACACAAAAACCATACGATCTCGCGTTCGATAGCAGCGCGATACGACATGTTGCAACGCAGATACAACTTGGCCCGATCCCAGATACTTTAACACGCGGAAGTTAAAAGCTGAAGTGTTTTCAGGATCTGGTACTCCGTCAAAGTCATTTCTTTCATCCTGTCGATGTGACAACTTTGCTGCTTCCCAAAGGGTCTGACAGGCCTCGTCAAAATCACACAGCATTTCTTGTCTCTCCATGAAGTGGAAGGTACCGGTTTCGTCATCCTCTTTCCAAACTTCCAAGCTATCTTCCAGCGAATTGTCATCAAAAGCTAGCAAACACTCATCGGTTTGAGCGTATATCGAGTCTAAGTCTTGAACAAATAGCTGGCAAAACGGGGTAGTGCTACAAGCGTCGTGTCCAGCCGTAGTTTGCCGTTTGTACGGTGCCGCGTTGACCCCATCGACATCGCTGGTAATACGTACTTGTGGCATATCTTGAATTTCACGAATAATCGCAGCCCGTGCCTGAATTGCTTCACAGAGATGAATTTGGTCGTTTTCGGAGGTTTTTCGTGCCTCCAATTGTCTCTCAGCGAACAACTTCCACCCCGATGAAGACGAATCTCCCTCTTCCTTGCTTTTCTTTAGTGAATTTAGTTCTGTGGTTAAAGTCTTCACCTGTTCATGCAAATGTTCCCGTTCATCCTTTTGTCGCTGTCTATAGTTGCTGCAACGCCGTCGCTCTTTGATTCTGTTCATTTCTCGTTTTGCAGGGTCGATATTAGTCTTCCTACCCCTCCTCCGAGGTTTTGAAGATGGGCGAATATTCACAGGTGCAGAACATGCTAAGGATGAAACAGAGCTCTCAGTAGACGTAAGTAGGACGGCAGGATCACACGAATCCAGGAACTCTTCGATATCCGTGATCAGTGTCATCGTGACTGAGGCAGCGCAAAATGGCAAATGAGACCTTTAATGAGACCTCTACGCGACATTAGCACATCATGACATGGTATCCTTATCACGTATGTAAAGTTGCCAATTTTTGAACCCCGTGCCGTCCTGCACTATCGATTCTGCTCTCAGTCGTATTACGCCGTAAAGTTTAGCGGCATCGGTAGCTACGCTGATCAAAAAATGGAGAGCTTGTTGTCTCCGG